AAGTTGAATATGAGCCAGCAGTGTGCCCTGGCAGCCAGGAGGGCCAACCGTGTCCTGGGGTGCATCAAGCACGGCATCGCTAGTAGGTCAAGGGAGGTGATTGTCCCGCTCTACTCTGCGCTGGTGAGGCCTCACCTCGAGTACTGTGTGCAGTTCTGGGCACCACAGTATAAAAAGGACATGAAACTGTTGGAGAGTGTCCAGAGGAGGGCTACGAAGATGGTGAAAGGCCTGGAGGGGAAGACGTACGGGGAACGGCTGAGGGCACTGGGCCTGTTCAGCCTGGAGAAGAGGAGGCTGAGGGGAGACCTCATCGCAGTCTACAACTTCCTTGTAAGGCGGTGTCGAGAGGCAGGAGACCTTTTCTCCATTAATACCAGTGACAGGACCCGCGGGAGCGGGGTTAAGCTGAGGCAGGGGAAGTTTAGGCTGGACATCAGGAGGGGGTTCTTCACAGAGAGAGTGGTTGCACACTGGAACAGGCTCCCCAGGGAAGTGGTCACTGCACCGAGCCTGACTGAATTTAAGAAGAGATTGGACTGTGCACTTAGTCACATGGTCTGAACTTTTGGGTAGACCTGTGCGGTGTCAAGAGTTGGACTTGATGATCCTTAAGGGTCCCTTCCAACTCAGGATATTCTATGATTCTATGATTCTAATTATCACAGAACAAATACATTATTTGCTAGAACAAAATATTCTCAGAAATACATTTTCAAAAAAATCTTAGGCCAGTTTTTGACTATAATTAAAACTGAGAGTTTCTGTCTCAGAACAGTTGAAGTCTAAATACACAGATGAAAGGGAATGTGGAGGAGATAGAGAAATAAAGCAGTCTGTTTCAAGGCTTATAGCAAGTCAGTGGCGATAAGGATTCTTGCTTCTCTAACTTCATCAGCTGTTCATAATTATTTTTTCTTCTGGACCCTACCTAGTTACTTTGGTTCAAACTCCATGTTGTACTAATAATACATAATGGTATAATATGACAGATTTACTTTGTCCTCTAGAGAAGCTACTACAAAAAAGTAGCATCTTTAAACAGATGATAATTTATCTTTGGTTGTTGGATTCTTTTATTCTCTACTTACTAAATATTGTTCATTAAAATATGTAAGGACTACTTAACACCTTTTATCTGAGAATACTGAGGAATGTGATAAGTATCAATCAAACTGCAAATCACACTTGATAAGTAGCTGATAATTATCCCCATTTTATAACTGGGACAATAAAGCAGGGATGGAATTGTTTAATTTCCAAGTTTTTTCTCTGACTGGTTTGCTAGCACCATAACAGCTGAGTGTCCAGCCCTGAAATTCTGACTGGTCTTATGGTAATGCATACATCTGAGAGGAAGCAGTGTTCAATACTTCAGATGACTTGATAACCTGTTGCATGCTATTACAGTGGAATACAGGCTTTTGTAAGAGGTTTAATGTTCCATTGAATTTTGCGTTGGTCTGTAAAGTAAATTCAGCTTCAGATAAGGAGCTGAAGGCATGGCACTTAATCACTTACAATATGCAATTATATTAGCTTTGGCAGTTTATGTAAAGATAGTCTTGCTTATTGCATTTGTTCATGAAGATATCTTCAACAATATTCATGTCTCATATCTTTAAGAATATTCATGAAGGCGTCTTTCATTTGCTGGAAGCACTGATACGGCAAAGAACTAATCTGTGTTTCTGTTGTTAAATATCACGAGTATCTTCTGCAAGTAAAAACCTTCCAAGCTGCTAGGCAGCTCTTGAGACACTGTCTGTGTGACAAATGAGACTAAAAGGGTCTTCATCTGCCTCTTCCTGCTTCAGTGTTATATGTTGTGTTCACTGTCTAAGATCATCTTTTAGAAATCAGGAGAGAAAACTCAAATTCCAGATGATTTCAGGTCATAATACATCTTCAGTTCAGTACAATCTTATTTGTGTATGGATATCTGCACACTGACTAATCAAAACAAGGTATGATAAAAATGCTTCCTAGTTCCAGTAACAACAAAAGGTCCTGGAAAATTACTCAAGGGTAAAGTACCAATTATAGAAGTCCTAATTTTTAAAGCAATGACTTGAATAATTCTGTTCCCCTTTCCCCCCTTCTTCCTCCTACAGGAGCAGCCGTCTTCCAGCTGCCTGATATTGTGTAAAAAAGACAGGGTCATCTAGATGTCACTTCTTTGCTGGGTTACTTAGCTCGTTTGCACGCTCCTTGAGGTTGCTAGGGTTTGGCATTTGGATTTTACCAATGTGCTAATTACAAAGGAATTTCAATATCTCCAACAGTTGGCTTTCTGACAGATTTCATTGTTGCAGCTGTGATACGTAATCATTGAAAGACTTGCCTGCTTCATAGTCTACCTCTGTATCAGTCTATATTCTGGTCAGAATACCATGCAAATTGTCCTTTAAAAAATTTACTAATGTACATTGTAAAACTCAGTAATGATGAAATCTGGAAAGTGAAGGTCTTGCATCAAATACTTTCTTAGAGTCTGAAATATTGAACAAATTCTAGCAAGCCAGATGAAAAATCGGTCCCACAGCCATCTTTCTAAGGTTTAGAAAAGAATAATAAGCTTTTCTTTTGTTTTCCTTCTCTCAAAATCTCCAATATTTTGAGATCTGTTATATATGGAGTGGATTTATGTATAATTTTGGATTTGTGGATTGAGGTCTCAGTTGAACAAATGCGCTGTTTATCGGTGCAGTTTCTATCATCATTTATATATAGAGCTGGTGATTTTTTTCTATTGTATCATTATCACATGTGCATAGGCCTTAGGTCTGTACGCCTTGTACATGTGACTCCTTTTATTTGCAATAGTAATGTCTTGATTTTGAGATGGTTACCCCGCATGAGTAAAGTTCAGTTCGTGTCAGGTGCACAAATCTGAGAAGGTTTGCAAAAGTTTTTATCGAATATAAGAAAAACTGAAGTGTTTTTGCAATGAAGATTTTTATGAAGTACGTAAAGCAGGCTTTGACAATCATTTCCAAAACTGCTGTTAAATTCTCCACCAGATCCAACTACTAGATGTGGTAGCTTCAGGATTAGACCCTTGTCAGCAGGAAACATTGATCTCCTTTGTACACTACTACCAGTAGACTGTTCATGAATGTACATGTTAAAAGATTAAATTTTCTTGGCAAGCAAAGTAGCCCAGGGGTTAAAAACATGTCTCTCAAAACATCTGCATGCTGGTGTCCTTCAAGTTTCAGCATGCTATCTTCAGGATTATGCTACAGATTAAAGAGTTTTATTTTCCCATCAAAGTTCTATAACTAGAATCTTTTGAAATAGGAAACATGATCTATTTTGCTGACTGCTTTGGGGGATTTCTTCCTCTTTTAAGAGGGTTGAAAATTAAAGTTCTTTAACATCCACTTTAAATTGACACTCAATATCCAGTAAATCAAAATAACATTATAAATTTGACCTGTGGAAATCAAGATTAGTTCTAATGTTCGCTATCCTAATGCAAATTATATCTCTGAAATTGTCACTCTGTAGACAGGAAATATTACTAATGTGTATTTTGACAACCTACAAACTGGAACAAGATTTTGGCTAATGAAAGAGTGTTTAGTTAATGCCTGTCAGTTCATACAGCAAATATGCTATGCATTATTAGTTTAATTTCCCTTCTGTTTCACTATGTGAAGCTATAAGATTTATACTTCTTGCAATGAGAAAAATGCAATGCCCGTTCATGTATCTCTGATACTTTTTCTTTAGCTTCCTAACTTCTTAAATTTTAAATGTAGCAAGAAGAAATAATTTAGGAGTGACATAGCTTTTTCTTTTTTTTTTTTTTTTAATTAAAAAAGGATAGTCATAAGCTTAAAAATCTAGATTGTGAATCGAAAAAGTGGTATATCAAGCAAGCTGCGGAGATCTTGGGAAATATTTTTACCTGTCTTCATGTGCCATTCATCTATGGTATCTACCTTCAGTTCTTCACCAGCAGCCTGATTCTCCAGCTTGCAGATAAATGGAATTGCAGGTACTGAGCTGCTCAAACCAGCTCTGAACTGACTCTATCCTAGAAGGGCTTATTAGCTCAGACAGTGTGATATGAATGCAGATGCACAGATGCTGCTGTCAGCTCAGATCTCTGTTCATGTGAGGCTGGGCCCAAGCTATGAAACCTACCCAGATATTAAGCCAGTTTAGGTGTGTCTGTGCCATGTATCTGGAACCAGTAGGTTTGGGAAGCTTGGTGTATGTACATCTGAGCTGCCTTTGGGCATTTGCCTGTCACTATGCCTAAGCCTACAAATATTCCTGGAAGCAGCCGTACTGCAGGGCTGGGTACAGCACACAGATTGGCCTTTCGAGAACTTTCCCCGTCTGGAAGTGGTGTTGTCCTGATATTTCCATTGCTTGGAACATCATAACCACACATTGCTTTGAATATGGAGAGTATATTTTATTTAGATTGCAGACTCTGGAGTGAGGCTTCTTGTATATTCTGGCAGTGCAGAATAGTATAGTAACACAACACCTCCTTGAATATGGAATGGGCCCTTGTGCTATTGTAATACTGGTAGTATTTTAGAAAGACATTTTCATATATTTGCACTACAATTATAATTATGAAAATAATTGTAATAACAGAATTCCTTGAGGGCAAACAAGTAAGAAAAGGATTTGCCTTGTTAATAAGGGGAAAAAGGAAAAATAAAAATAAAATACTATTTTGAAAAAACTTTAGCACCATGTTCTGCTAAAAAAAAAAAAAAAAGTGTGCTTGGAAGTATGCTTATTTTAAAACCAAGCACATAAATATCAGATTTATGATATAGAGAGACATGCGAGTTGGTGCAGGACATTTTGACATGAATATTTTGTGTGCTGGCACCAAAAAGACCATTTACTGATCCAGATCTCAGGCTATTTTAGAAAATGTGCAATTAAAAGGGGTGTGTGTTTGTGGGGGAGGTGGAACTGCTGTAGTGGAATCACTCTAACTCAGGTTGCTAACCTACTTTTGAAAGGTGGAGTAATTTACTGCTGTATGATGGCCATCAGCTCATTGATGAAGCTAGAAGTAAGAACTATGAAGACTTCAAAAAAGATAACTTAGTAGTGTTACTTCCCTGACACCATGAACTGAAAAGGAACAACTCTTTACAGTGAAGAAGGAGCAAATGTGCAGCCTTGTGAGCCCTTTCATGGAGTGATACGAGATACATCAGTACCATGTTATCAGCGAAGGCTGCTGAGAATGTACAGGGTTGCCAGTGTCTGTTCTGGACGATACTCACTGTATTTAATTACCGCTGTAAGTTGTGCCCTGGTGCACACACCACACCCTTATCACTGTCCTTTCCTGAGAATTGCCTATACTATTATGAAACAAAATAAAAAAGGTTTAATATGATGAAATATTTTTGCCTTGGATACTGTAATCGTTCTGTTACATGTAGAGATATCAGATATAAGTTGTGTCCAGTATATGAGATGGATCTTTACTTGAGAGTACATTGCTGCAGGTTTGGAGTCAGTGGAGCTAAGCCAGTTTGCACCCACTCAGGATTTAGCTCTCACACTTCTAGTAGATATTTAATTGATTGCAGGTAAATTTGAACTGCTAGAGGACTACTGGCTTACCAAAGATGCTTGTTAGGAATATGTTTTATGGTACAAGCTAGAGAGAAGAGAACATCAATTTTTTGTGCAAATACTGAAAAATACCAAGCAGTATTGAATATTGTCAGTAGGAAATGTTTTGTAATAGAAATGCAGAGAAAGTAAAGCAAATACCTCACATCGGTTGGTACGGATAAATTACTGGCTAAGAGGAGAAATTGTGTGCCTGTCTGCTGATGAAAATGGTAAATGAAATGAAGCATAGGAAAACTAGTGTAAATATTCAGAAACTCGTGGTACCTGGGTGTTTCAGTGGTATAGGTGATTAGCCCCTCCTAAAACCAATCCCTACCACTCCATATTTCATCCATCAAATACAAGTTCTGTTGAAAAAAAAAAAACCACAAAACTATACAGAACAATCTAATGCCAGAAAGACATAGAGAATGATGTAAGAGGTCTTTCCCAGATTTATTTTTAACTCAAGCCAAAAATACAGGTTTGATTCTGTGTGTTGATATAAGTGGGTGTGTATTAACTTCAGACAGGTTGAGTGACATTTGTAAAGGGCGCAAGTCCAAACTAGATGTCTCAATCCAGCAAAACCATGGGTGCAAGAGCTAGGCATGTGGTGGCACGCATGGTTCTCTACCTGATGAGAAGGGGAGAGAGCTTTTCAAAGCAAAAACATCAGGTATTTCTGTATTCTGAAGGCAGCCTGTAGGGTGTGAAACTGGGAAAGGACGGGCACATACAGGGTTTTCTGAATGTGCCCCATTCACATTCCAGTAATTAAAGCATGGACATTCAAGGTCATGAGAAAGTGTATTCTTGATGATGTACAGGTATAGATTTGTGAGTCTGTTTTGAAATTGCAATATATTTACTGTTCTCATGGGCCCCTAGATTTTAGAAAATTTGAAGGTGAACAAAATATCTTAAGAAATTGCTGCCTTTCCTTTCCCTCTCAACAGGAGACTATGTGCCTATACAGTTACTGGATGTACTGACCTGATGCATAGAGCTAGATTAATTTGAAAAGATTTGGTCTCAGAGTCGGCTTGGAAATGATCATTTCTTAACTTCAGAGGTCTTTCAGAGCCAGAAATGCTCCATCCTAACACCGTGGAGTATCAAACCTTCATTTCCCATCAGTAGTAGAGAGGAGACATCATCTTTGCTAAGAATGTGCAGGTTTACCTGTGGGGTTTCTGAGTCTGCTTTTGCTGCTGAAATTGAAATAGCCATTAGGATATACGTTTCTGTTTCTAATACCTTTGTAGGAAAGACATCAGAGCCAATACAGATGCTAAGATTAGAAACAAAATTAAACAGTCTTCTGATTTGTTGTAGTTCACCTTAACTTGACTGTTGAGAGGACAAAGTGGGAATTTAACGCAATTCACTATGCAATTACATCAAAGCTTTTCTACCACCTACTGTCTATTTGCTTTATCTTGTGCTTTATCCCAATCATTACAGTTTGGTCTTCAGTACATCTCCTTTTTTAGTTCAAATTTTGCTTAGGATAGAGGTTCTTGTAATAATATACAACAGGTACCTACTGATAAAACAGCAAGAACTCGTGTCATTAGTCCTTCTTTGGTCCTGGTAAAAGCTTTCCACTTTGAGAATAAAAGAGCACTTAATCATAAGCATATGGCTCAACCATCTAACAGAGTCTTGGTTCCACCTTAAGTTTACAAATGCTTTGCCTCCTTCATATTCATCCAAGGTACAAAACTGATAGAATTCAAACCAAACAGTGTCAGAGAAAAAACAATGTCAAAGAACAAAATATGGGAATACTACTACTACTAATAATGATAAAACTGGGATAAAAACCTTTAGGAAAAAAAAGTGCCTTTTCCCAAATTCTCCCCATTCTCCAGAACTATTTCTTATTCTGCAGGATGTAAGAGGCACATTCTTCTCCCAGTTTCTATGAAGCAATAGAAATATTAAAAGGATATTTTCACTGTCAGAGTTTGTTACTGGGCAATGAGATAGACTGCAACTATACCAGCTTAACTCTGATATTAAATTATAGAAGAGATACAGAAATATATTTCAGTAACTGGCGAGGAAATAAACTTTTTTTGCAAATTATTTCTGCCTTCACTGGGAATTTCAGAGCATTTTTTGCTTGTTTTGCAGTCTGCACATAGTACATAGTTGTGTACGCTTGTAAATGGACAAACTGAGAATGATACATGTTTTCTGTGAAATTCCACAGCAGATGAGTAGCAGAGACCGTGACTTCAGATTGTGCTAGTTGTTGAGTAAGGCCCCAGCAGTAGCTCAGTGCAGCATACAGAACTCCATGACAATCATTGTCCTCTGATGCACACCATGCAGCAGATAGATGTTTCATTTCCCTGCCTTGACATAGCACTATGTTCTTCTGTTAAGTAGCCATAATTTATTTTCATACTCATATTATTGCAAGGTATAGAAAAAGGTGAAAATTAAAATAAAAAACAGATACTGATTTGGAAGAAAGAAATATAATTGTTTGCACTACAAAATCCCTAGCGTGAAACAATGCAATTTGTCAGGATGGTAATAGGACAATAGCAGCTTCTGCCAAATGACATAAATGGAGAGATGCTGATGTGTAGCAGCTACTGTTAATTTCCTATTACAAATATTCTGTACCTTTTAACTTCTTACATTCTCTCATGGCTGCAATTTAAGGACTATTAATTATGATAACTAGGTAGATTTTTTAATTGTGTTTTTAAGAAAATAAAATGCATAGTTAGAGACTCATTTTTTATATTATGTATGTTCTGGTTGGCTTTATTTTCTAAAATGTAGTTTTCCAGTCATTGTTTTCATGAAAACCCCTCTTTTGTGCATGGGCAGTTTCAGGGGTTATCACCTTTCCTTTTCTTGTTATCCTCTAAGTGGTACTTTCATTGCTGTGGGCAGTGTAACAACTATGTTCTGCTCTACTTGTCATGTCCCATTTGCTGCCACCCAAATCAAAAGCAAGTGGTTTGGCACATCTCTGAGACAGCTTTTTTTTTATTATTATTATTTTATGTGCTGCTTCCTGCTCTTTTCACATTTTTCTCTCTTTTGTCTTTTAAGCCTGAACTGTAGAGATTCTCAGGGACACATTATAACTTTCCTGCCAGGTGAGATCAAAGAGGGTCTGTTAGAGGCCTGGTTGTCTCTTTTTCTCTTAAAAAAAAATAAAAAATAAAAAAAAATAAAAGCAAACTTTCCAACATCTGTTACAGCCAACACAGATGTACATACACTGTAGTATGTTTGAGGACTGAAGATAACTTTCTAAAGCTGTTTTCAACACCTTTCCCTGCCCTTGATAGTTTATTTTAAGGGATCTCAATGCAGAAATTGAGTTTGTGGGTTATGGCAGAAGAATCAATGGGGAAGGTTCTTGAAATCTTATTTCCAGCTGCTGTGTTGCTGTTGAGATACTAAAATCTAAAGTACAAAAAAACTGATGTCTGTTTCATTATAAAATATGCAATGGAGTGGAAAATACTTACTGATTTTGGAAATTCCACTGTTAAATTCAGAATAACAGCTTAGTATCTCGTAGACATCTTAACTGGGAAAAGCACAATTTTTTACGGCTGATTTCCTGAAAGTTTCATCCCATTTTCCTCTTTCCATCATTTTTACTTCCAATTTAAAGATTTTCAGTGTCAAGGTGAGCTCTTTTAGTTAGGAATAGGTAGCAGATACAGGGTTTGCTGATTTTCAGAACCTCCACACTAAATTGGTCCATTCTTCCTATTTATCATTTTTCACATTTTCTTTTGCCATTTTCCTTTTTATTTTTTTCCTTGCTTTCCACTTAACATTCTGATTTCATGTGATTTATTTTTTGTTCCATATGGAATAATTTCTTCCTCAGCAGCCAGCTCTGACCCCTAGTAAGACAAATGTCCCATACCAACATGGCTGAGTTAGCAGCTTCCAGTCCCAAATGCAGTCATCAGAAGCATACAGTTGTTTGAGCTTGCCCGTAGTGAGATAACAAGCCAATTTACCTCCCTGCTCACAAAGCTTCCACTGAAGTTGCAGAGGTGTTCAAGAAACTTGAATTAGGTCTATTTTAAGAATATGATTCATAGTTCCTTATCTTTGTTTAGATATAAATTCAACAAACAAATGAACACCTATCTCCTGAGTTGACCACTTGTGTCACGTTCCTAAAAGAAGCTTTCGTGGGTGAAATGAATTCTACAACACACCACCTCACATCTACATAAGCTCAAATTGGCTAAACCAGGCTCACTTTAATGCAGCTAAATATCCCTACTGGTTTGTCTGCCGCAGGAGTATAAAAGGAGAAAATATGCTGAGCAAATACCCCAAAGGATTTACAGTCTGTAACTGAAGAAGTGAATGCACTTTATGACAACTATGCCAATAGATAGAAGAAGGGAAAATATATGTCAGCTAGATATGGAGGTCACTGCTGAGTCTGTAGATTGTTTCTGCAGAGGAAAGAGAAAGGGGAGATGGTGAAACCCTGACTTTGTTGTCAGCATAATTTAGCAGGAGAGAGGGCATGGAGACTGACTTGAGAGGAGATTAAGGGAACCTCCAGGAGAGAGGGTGAGGAGGGGCGGAGGAAATGAAGTAGGAGATGTAATTGTGCCCTCACCTACACAGAGCCTTGAACCAGTATTTGATTTTAGGGCAGAAGAAAATGCAATTGAAAGAAAGGATCGGAGAAGGTGGGAAAAGACAGTCAGAGCAGCAAGATCTTAAGAGAGCAACAAAGTCTTGGAGTGGCTTGAGTTGAGGAGGGC